CTTGTGAAATGACAGTTGTATGAAATGATATGAAGTTAGGTATAACAGCTTTTCCCCCGCAAAAAAATGAAAAATTCCTTATCTATTCTTTATTAAAATAATTCAAGAAGAAAAAAAAAAAAATTTTTTAAGCTTAATTCGATCTTCTATGCAACAAGCAATTGAAAAGAGCAAACAAATTTAAGTTGATTATTCAATCAGTGGTATTGCAACCGCTCTGGGGGTCGTCGAACTCTGGTTGATTTTCTCATTACTCGTTCACTCTCGTTGTGCGATGGAACTCCTTTGTCGTTCATAACCTCAGCAGACGGCATCGACGGACTCGGTAAATTAGAATTGCATGGTAGTGACTCCTTCGATGGCTCCTCAGCGATGAATGTAGGTTGATTGTGTGTTGGTCCATTGACACACGATTGTGCTTGCATAGAAGTTTCGACATTGTCGGAAATTTGAGTTGGTGTTTTCGTTGGTTCATTCGAAACACTTGGAACGTTTGATTGTTTCGAAATGATTTCGTCTCCGACTTTACGCATTTGATCGACGTGTCGCTTCCAGTTACGACCATCCTCCAATTGAACTTCGTAATGTAATTTGCCAAATTTTTGCGAAACTGTGCCAAATTTCCATTTTTCATTCGACAAATAATCACGAACAGCGACTCGATCGTTTTGGTTGAAATTCTTTCCGATGTTCACGTGTTCTTCTTCTTGTTTGTGTTCATTTGGCAGCATCAAATCTAAACGATTCTTCATTTGACGTCCAAACATTAACATTGAAGGTGATTTGCCCGTGGCTGGGTGAATTGCACGACGATACGCCAACAAAATGTTTGCAATGTTTTTCTTCAAATCGTTTCTTGAGCATTTCAATGTTTTGATTTTATTCTTAAACGTTTGTACGTACCGCTCTGCTTGTCCATTTGTAGCTGGGTGGTATGGTGCTCCTTTCCGATGTTCCACCCCATTGACTTTGAGAAATGCTTGAAAATCACCAGATACAAATTGCGTTCCCCAGTCACTGACGAAATATTTTGGTATGCCAAACGTAGCAAAAATGTCTCGACACACCGCAATGGTTGTTTCGGCCGTAATATTCGGTATGACTCGCACTTCGGGCCATTTCGTGTATGCATCAACCAAAATGAACAAATATTTACCCATGATTGGGCCGGCAAAATCGGCATGCACTCGTTCGAATGGTTCATTTGGTCTCATCCAATGATGTACGATGACTTTCTTTGATTCTGGTCGGATCCTTTGACAATCTCGACAATTCTTGACTAAATTCTCGATGTCACAATCCATTTTTGGCCACCAACAGTAACCTCTCACTAAACTTTTCATTTTAGTCTCTCCAAAATGTGCAGGATGTAACTCATACAAAACTCATTCGCGCAAGGTCGGTGGAACGTAGACAAGAATTCCTCTCATCAAACACCCTCGTTGAAGTGCAAATTCTGTTTGTTCAATGCCAAATCGATCTTTACTCTCGCAACGACGTCCATGTTTCAGTGCCAGAATCAAATTTCGCATAGTGTGATCCTTATCCGTAGCATCGGCCAATTCTGGTACACTGACCGCTAGAGTTTCGATCGCATTGATTTCGATTAACTCACTTTCTTCGATATAATTGAGTGGTCGGGAATAAAAATGACTAAAGTTCAACCACTTATGGATAACCGTAACACAATATTCTTGATTTTTAAAAGTGCAACATAAATTCTGTTCGCTTGTAAGTGAATCGTAAAATATCTGTGGACTATAGAAATCGTGTTTCACTTTAATTGAAGCAAAAATGTTCGATACACTTTCAAGGCCATTGGAATGATGATTCATTTTAATGGTGGTTTTGGTTGTGATTTGGCTTCGGAGTGAAAATTAAGTGATAAGGAGCGCGAATTTCGATGTGCCGATAACACCATTGGATTGGGCACATGAAATACTGTTCCAGAATCGAAAAAAAAAACTTTTTTTTCGATTTTTGCCTGTTTCCGACCGTCTACGATGGGGAGTTTGTATGAAAACCTCGGAGCGCCGCTGGTATTGCATTGGCTTCTATGGCCAAATGTACACATGGAAATATCTCGAAAACGGCTGGGTAAATCGGCAAAACGGACCATGATGCTAGGGGAATTTAACTCTTACGAGTTCAGCATGTTTTCTGCCAGTTTGCTTGATTCGCGGAAGTTCGACGCGTTCGTTGTACGTACTGACGCGCACGGTCACAAGTTTACACAAGTATGTTTATGGTTTTGCGCGTTTTTCAAGTTGTTATTTGACAACTAAAACGCGTTTCAAACTAAAAATCGGTTGTTTACGTGTATAAAGATTTTTCACATCCTTTCCAAAAGTTCAAAGATTTATATAATTATAAAATGGACAAAGGAAATATTTTTAAAGAGCTGGAGAAAGTGTTGGAAGAAAAGTTAATCCAGATATAATAAATGGAACGAATGATGTGTGCGCGTGGTCCAGCTTCATGTTTGCACACGAACTCGCACAAGTTCGCGCATGTTGTTTCAATACGGAACTTGTCAACTGAGTGGAATCATGCAAGTTCTCTGGTGAATGTAACAATTTCGTGCGCGTTTATATCATTTTGTTACAAGTTTTCACGTAGTTAAATCCCCCTAGCCATGATGTCACACCCGAAGGGAGTGTAAACACCTGGCTGGTTTGACGGCCTAGAATACAAATCCGGTGGAATTTGGGCTGATCCATGGATTCTCAGGATTCGAGCTGATTCTAGCACTTCAATTTCTTTCATAACAAAACATAGGTAGAATGGGTTTACAGATGCACATAAAAAAGGAAGCACTGGAATCTGGCCAAATCCTGAGAATCCATGGATCAGCCGAAATTTCACCGGATTTGTATTCTAGGCCATCAAACCAGTCGGGTGTATACACTCCCTTTAGGGAGTGACATCACGGTCCATTTTGCCGATTTACCCAGCCGTTTCCGAGATATTTCCATGTGCAAAAATTTAATAATATTATGGCCAATTACATTGGCCTATATGGAAAAAAACTCGAGCGTCGAAAACTTATGCTATTTCGCGCACACTTATGTGCAATTTTCAAGTGTATTATAATCGGTTGTTCGACGAACAACACAGTTGCTTGCTGGTCCGATGCTGAAAATTAACGCGCAATAGACATTGCACACACAAACGAGATTGTGCATGTTCTGGCAACGTCGATTTGCAACCGATTATGAATGAGCGTAAATTTTTCATTACGTTCATTCATAATCGCTTAAACACCCGGCTGGTTTGACGGCCTAGAATACAAATCCTGTGAAATTTCAGCTGATCCATGGATTCTCAGGATTTGGCCAGATTCCAGTGCTTCCTTTTTTATGTGCATCTGTAAACACATTCTACCTATGTTTTGTTATGAAAGGAATTGAAGTGCTAGAATCAGGCCGAATCCCGAGAATCCATGGATCAGCCCAAATTCCACCGGATTTGTATTCTAGGCCGTCAAACCAGCCGGGTGTTTACACTCCCTTCGGGAGTGACATCACGGTCCGTTTTGCCGATTAACCCAGCCGTTTTCGAGATATTTCCATGTGTACATTTGGCCATAGAAGCCAATGCAATACCAGCGGCGCTCCGAGGTTTTCATACCAACTTCCCATGTAGACGGTCGCAAAACAGCCGTAAATCGAAAAAAAAAGTTTAATTTTTTTTTTCGATTTTGATACAGTATTTATTGTGGCCAATCCATTGGTGCCATCGCCACATCGAAATTCGCATTCCTTTTTATCAAAATTATCAAAAAAACGCCTCAAGTCAAAATGCACAACTAAAACGCCTCATACATTTGTATTGCATAAAAGAGTCCCATGAATAAAGTGAGAATAAAAGTGCCCCATAATCATGGGACACTTTTATGCTCACTTTTTTCTTCAGTCTCTTTTGTTGCAATACGAATGTATAAGGCATTTCGGAACGAACTTTTTTTCGCAGGTCAAGAATATTCTCATGCGTTCATTTTCATATGTAACTTTTTTGAGAAACGATTTTTGGACGACTGCGGAATCGAACCCCAACCTGAAAGCAATTTCAGTAGGTAAAAACACTCGGTTCTAACGAACACAAAATGGTCAAAATGGTCTTCAGCTCATAATAGAATCTCTAATTGTGAAGGCAAAACATAGGCCAATTCGCAACATGCGAAAAATGTCATTACAATGCTATATGTTTTTTGCTTTTATTAATGGTTTTTCGAAGCATCATAGTCAATTTAATCAAATTTGTGTGTAAAATATTCTAGGAACATTTATTTCATTTTTTATTTTATATGTTAGTTCATATAAGTACGGAAAACATATTATATTATTAATTCATTTGATTGCGTAAAAAAGGTTGTGAATTTGGTATGTTTCGGTGGTTTCAGTATTTGTTTCATCACAATATCTGATCGAAG